TGTGGCTGTGGAGATATTTGCCATTCTGGCCTCCAGCTTTGGACTGACACTGTGTATATTTGCTCCAAAGTGTTTCATCATATTATTTCAGCCTGAGAAAAACACAAAGAAAAGTTTAATGAACAAAACCTAATTGCAAAATATCCTGATGCATGCTCCATTTTCCAGGTAGAAAAATCAAACAAAGTTAAGTCAGGTCCTCTACGGATTAAAAAATAATAATAATCAAAAACTTGTTGAAAGACGAAATATTTAGACAAGACAAGTTTAAAATGTTAAATTAATTTTTTTTTTTTTTTTTTTTTTTTCATATTTCCAGAGGACCTGACTTAACTTTGGTGGACTAACTGTAAAAATATTGGATATTTGAAATTAAGACACGTTTATTTTGATGGCGACAGCTATTTATTTGTTTCTAAAAAAATATGATAATTTGTTGTTGTCTAAAAACATTTGTTTCTAAAAAAAATACCAACTGCCTAATGTTTTAACAGAATAAAAGATCAATACTCTCACTCACTCATGCACATTTCATTTTACTCAGGTTTAATATTTATCACCTATTTGACATTTCAAATGTTGCACAATCACATAAACGGAACAAGTGGTAGATAATCAATGGATGGATAGAAATGTTACATGATATAATAAAGTAATGTTCCAAATGTTACTGTGTTTTTGTTTTTTTTTTGTTTGTTTTTTTCAGTGCTCACTGTAGCATCATAAGAAGAACAATGGAAAGAATGGCCAAATCAAGCAATACTATTTTTTTTATCCTTTTTAGAACTTTTGTGCAGCCAAATAAAAAAGTGCATACATTTTACATATGTATCTATGTCCTGTTGCTTATCAGTGTTTTGGTCACACAGGCAATAGGTTAGGAAGCAAACCCAGCTTTTCCTTTTCTTTTTGACACACTACAACTCCTGATTCTCCAGTGTGCTACTGCATGTATTTACAATAACAGTGTAGTTCATGAAAGTGGCAATGGGCATTCATCCTCCGCTTCACATCCACCATGATGTCTGGCCATTTTTCTCCATTTCTGTAGGATTGCGCTGCTCTGAAACCACATCATTTACAGCTTTGCACATGTCCCACTCACTCCTCTTGCACTTGGCGTTAATGCCAGAGGACACCGTACCAAACAAAACGATTATGTGTCTCTCCCTCATTTACATGCATCTCCAACTCACATTCCATGAATTTCCTCTTTTTTTCCCGCACGTAGACATGCTTTAAGATACAATAAAACATTGTAACAATTGAAAGGTACAATGTCCTGCTGGCTGTTTTTGCTTTGTGTTAGCTGTTCTAGCTCGGAAACTACCTGATAATTTTAATGAAGCCAACCTGATAACCTTCAGCATTCTGACCTTCTGTGCATTGTGGATCACCTTCATCCCAGCATATGTCAGCTCTCCTGGAAAGTTTACTGTGGCTCTGGAGATATTTGCCATATTATTGGTCTCCTATTTTGGACTGATACTGTGTATATTTGCTCCAAAGTGTTTCAATATAATATTTCAGCCTGCAAAGAACACCAAGAAATACATAATGAACAAAATTTGTGGAAAAATTTCAAGCATTTGAAAACAGAATTACGGACATGATAACAGAAATTCTGCTTAAACCTTTATTACATTTTTTTTTCATTCATTCTACCTTTATTTAAACAGATAAATCACAATGAGCCTTGAACACTCATTTATAAGTGAGACCTGTTTAGACAAACAAAAACAGTGGTGAACTGGACACATGTAGGAGTTGGAGGCAAGAAAAATTCCTATCAGACTTTTTTCTTGGCTGAAAAAAACCTCTAATATTGAAAAAACACCTCGCACAAACATTCACATATTTACGTAAACATTCTGCAGAGCAGAGACGAGAGCGGTCAACAACACTTATAGATGCTCTCGAGGTCACTGTAATCAGTCAATGTCCTCCGGT